AAAGTAAGACGGCCCCCCCCCCCCCACACACACACACACACAAACACAGACACACACGCGCATTCAGTTGTATTTTATTTTTCAATACAATACATTTGCATGTAACCTTTAAGAACTGTTTGTTATTAAACCGTCATTTCGATACATTTGATAGTTGCATGCAGAATTAATTTGGAGGAAGATCAGTTTTTTGCCACTTAAGGCAGGGCTAGGTCGCTATCCCTCCCGACTCGGGGGGGATTTTCTGCACGCATCCATTGTAGTCTGCTGAATCGAAAACTCGCGTTTCTTTCAGGTCATCCCTCAGATCCAAAACGCAGACGGAACGCTGACGAGCTTCCAGGCGCAAGGCTTGGATGACGGCACGGGGCAGATCCAGCTCCTCCCAGACGGCGGCCAAGGCGGCATCGGAATCAGCTGCGCGGCGGCGGCCACCACGGACCTCCTGACGCAGGCGGGGCAAGTGCAGCCCATCCAGGGTCTTCCGCTGGCTGGGGGCTCGGCGTACCCCGTGGGGCTGCCCGGCAACATCACCTTCGTGCCCATCAACAGCGTGGACCTGGAGTCGCTGGGCCTGACGGCGGCGCAGACGGTGCCCATCGCCACTGGCGTGACGCCGGAGGGCCAGCTGATTATGAGCGGCCAGACCCTGGAGAGCGCCGGGCAGGACGGCAAACTGACGGTGGGGGGTGACAGAAATCAGGGGCTCTACGTGCCCACCTCAGACACCCCCTCGCAGATCCCCGCCACCATCGACGGGACGGGCGTGCTGACCCAAGCCACAGCCGTGTCCGCCGGCGTGTCGGACCCTTCGTCCTCTTCAGAGAACTTTAATTCCCACCTCCAGCAGATCCAGGTCAGCGTGCGCACTCAAGGAATGCCCGCGTGATGCGTTGATTTGAGCGATTCATTTGAGGGCATCTGCCTGGATTCGAACCTTTTTTTTTTTTTTTTTTTTGGTAAATATATTTTTTAATGCAGCTTCAGTTGTTGACAGCGCATGCACTGCAAAATGGCCGTGACCAGAAAAGATCTCGTTTATAAAATGACGACATGTGCAGTTCCTCGCTCGCTTCTTCTACGATCAACTGAAAAAAATACTTCAGTCTCCACGTAGCACCTTCATGACCAACATTAAAATACAGTAACGTAGCAGAAAAAAAACCAAAGCAGAGGTAAAGCTGGGCGGTATGATGATAAAAATCACAAAGACATTTTATCGTGTCACTTTTTTCGCCTATCGTGTTATCGTCGCGCCGCGGTCACCTGGTGCCAGACTGACCAAATATACGGGGAAATGAATCATAATACATAACAATGCCACATAACAAACCCACGGTGCAAAATGAAATCTAGGTGTCAGTGATTATTAATAAATAACGAGGTGGGTGATGTGATTGCAACTAACAAATACTAATGCGTTGGAAAAGAAGAAACTAACAACAACAAACCCGTAATGATTAATAATTATTTGTACAAAAAAAAAAATCTCTATGCTAGGTATGCCTTCAAACGATATGAGCAGAGGAGCTTTTATTTTGAGCCTCATTAAAACACAAAGGATAGAAAAAAAACCGGATTATCAGATTTTTTTTTTTCTCAATAATTGAACGCCGGAGACGTCCCAAAAAGCTTCGGCGGTCTGCTTCTTCACCTGCAGCCCGGTAATGGGCGGGATCGAGGCGAGACGCCACAGCAGCTAGCGATTGCAAATTCAGCAAAGAGAGATTTGATTGAATAGCACTGCCTGCTGAACAGGTTGCGCTTTCGATGAACAAACTACACTTCCGACATGTATTCTCACGGAGGTATTACGAGGCGTGATTACCAAAGGGAAAGCCGGAGAAGCCATGCTAATTGCTCAACTAACACACCACATTTTGGCAATGGCCACTTGTGCGTGCCCTTATCTTTGTCATATGTTGGAATTTAATTGTTAGAGGGTGGGGGGGGGGTAACAATAAGCAAATTTAGTTTTGGCCATTTTAAAAGAGCAAATATTGGCCAGTTCATCGGCACCTCCTACCGAACGCAGCATCTGCTCAATCTTGTTGATATCGCGCAGGTGCCATCCTCCAGTGCCGGCGCCCCTGCCGCCACCCTGTCGCAGCCCATCCTGCAGCTGTCGGGCGACGGTCAGACCCAGGTGACGGCGGGCCAGGACCTGAACGCGGCGGCGGGTCAGACCCTGCAGAGCGTCCAGCTGGTCAACCCGGGGACCTTCCTCATCCAGGCCCAGACGGTCAGCGCCACCGGGCAGATCCAGTGGCAGACGTTCCAGGTCGGCACTCACGATGGAGATGTGACCCACAACGTTCTCAGAAAAAGATCTTGAGTTGGGTCCTTTGTTATTTATTTGATTTGATTTTTTTTTTTTTTTAGGTTCAAGGTGTTCAGTCGCTTCAGGGCCTCCAGCTGCCTCAGGGGCAGGGGCAGGCGCAGCAGCTGACCTTGGCCCCCGTGCAGACTCTCCCACTGGGCCAGGCGGGCCAGGTCAGCCTGCCCAACCTCCAGACTGTGACCGTCAACTCACTGACGCAAAGTGGGGTTCATTTCACGCAGCAAGGCGATGACACCAACAGCCCGGGTGGTACGACACGCATCTCATTCTTTTGGGTTTGCAAGTCGTGAGTCAAAATGTTCATTTAAAAAAAAAAAACAAAAAAACAACACCACCACAAATTAAGCCTCCGCTCTTACTAACACAAGACTGCCATTTTGCTCGCGTGACTTGTTCATGTGCAAGAGCCTATTCACACGCGATAAGTGCTGAAATCGTTACAAATTCAATTTGCGGCATAAGATGGGGCCACAGAGGGCTGATACACACCCACAACATTTTTATTATATACTACTGTCAAGTCATACGGAGTTGTAGCAAATGTGGCATTTTTTTTAAAAATCACTGCAAACTCCACTTTTAACGCAAAAATATCTTTTGTTTCTGTCGAAGTTGATTTAGTAGGTTGGTGCTGCAAAAACATTTAGAAAGCATGTTTGGTATCAGGGGGAGTAAATCTCATTTGAGAAGGGAAACAAAAGCAAGACCTGTTTGAAATAATTTGCCTTTCCTGTAAGTGAGGGGGAAAAAAGAATCGGAAATCCAATTTTCTTCCACCGTTTTATATTTTACGGCGCGACCTCCTGACCGCGTTTGACGCGTCCTTCCCCTTGCCTTCGTCGCAGGCATCCAAATCAAGGAGGAGCCCGAATCTGAAGATTGGCACCTGAGCGGCGACTCCACCCTCAACCCCAGCGACCTGAACAACCTGCGCGTGCAGATGACCGTCGACGACGACGCCGACGCCGCCAGCGGCGAGGGCAAGCGGCTACGGCGGGTGGCCTGCACCTGCCCTAACTGTAAAGAGTCTGGGGGAAGGTGAGCCATTGGAACAAAACCGTTGGAAAAGCTCTGATCTGGCTCCAACGTAACGTGTAAACGTGTCTCTCTAACACACACGCGCGCACACACACCCACAGAGGTTCCGGGCTGGGCAAGAAGAAGCTGCACATCTGCCACATCGTCGGCTGCGGCAAAGTGTACGGCAAGACGTCGCACCTGCGCGCCCACCTGCGCTGGCACAGCGGCGAGCGGCCCTTCGTGTGCAACTGGATGTACTGCGGCAAAAGGTTCACCCGGAGCGACGAGCTGCAGAGACACAGGAGGACGCACACAGGTGAGACCGACGGCGCTGACGCGCTCGTTTCGGGGATGCGGGAGGAAAAGCCGCCGTCGCTTCTTGAGGTGGGGCGTGGCCTGCCGATGGACCTCAGGACCCTGGAGTCGGTCACGTGTGTTTGCATCGTGCTCCTTGGAAGTGTTTTCATTTTGTATTACTGGGTTTGGAAAAAAAAAAAAAAGGATCATCAGCAACTGAAGCGGGCTTGTGCCTAATTCTAGAACATCCATCCACAGTTTTTCTATTTTCAGATAAAACACTTTCTTGATTTTGAATGAACGGTGTTTGAAGAAATTGGAAAATCATCTCGAAGTTTTGCAAGGAGGAGGTTTGCCAACTTCAGATGTGGCGCAAATGTCAACCTGGTCTTTTCCTGTGATTACTTTTTCATTCTAGAAATTTCTAAATCAGGATTAAAAAAAACTCGAAAACGACCTCACATTTTCCCATTGAAATTAATCGAATGTCATGAATTGGTTCCGGGCCCTCAAAACTGTTTTTGGTTGTGTTCTTTTATTGAAAAAAAATTGTCACTTACCAGATTGGCAATAACACACTAAAACAGAATGTTAAGAATTCTCTTGTTTTTTTTTTAACTTGCACTCCTTACACGCTAAAAATAAATAAATAAAAATACTAGTTGTATAATGACAAAAAAAGCTGCCTGACTGAAATTAAGCTGTGTGCCCCAAGCCCCGCACGACACCAACATTTTAGCCTTAGCAATTCCGAAACGTAATTGTCCTCCACGACAAAGTCGATTTAAATGCAATGAATTGTTCATCCCTAGTTATCTGTCTGTAGCATCTTCTTGCTCATTGTTTGGTTTTGCACGGCGAGACTTTTTTTGTGGGCGCGCGAGGGAGACGCCTGCAGAAAAACAGAAAAAGTAAGCAAAACACCGCTCACTCACTCCGAGCTAACCACATGAACAGATGGTGGCCTGATGTTGTGAAAGTTGACTGGCGCCCTGCAGTGGCGGAAACTCATTCATCAAGTCCAATTTTTGTTTGCAACACATAGCAAAAAAATAAATTGCTTTCACGAGCGTAGCCATATTGAGGCACTAACACTTGTAACAGTAAAGAGATTTTTGTTTGTGTAATAACGACAGAAGGCATGATGGCGTTTGACGAATGGTTTAGTAGAACGAATGGCAACTCGCAACAACAGTAGCAAGCGTCATTTTGCCACTTGGGTTATACCATCTCAACTAGAATGTGGGGG